GAACGGCGGAGGCGGGTCCCTGTGGGCAGTGCCGGAGCCATGGCGGTGGTGGAGACCCCCCGGCCTCTGCTCGCCGCTCCCCGCTGCGAAGGTGAGTGGGACCCGGCCTCCTGGAAGCCTCTCGGGGCTGTGACAGGGGCCTGTCTGTCAGAATATGGCGGGGGGCAAAAAGGTAGAGGCATGGTGGTGCGGTTCCCTCTGTGAAGTAACCTGTGTTCTCATGATGCTGGTACAGAAAAGTAACAGGAGTTTGAGACCAAAGGGGGAAATTAATGAGGAGCGAAGTGCAATGAGAGGCTTCTCTGTGTTTTACACGTGGAAGGAGCAGGTAAGGTATCTGAAATTGGTCCAAGCACGTAAAATGTAGTGTTATACTTAATTCTTAAGCACAAAGGGGTCTTGTTCTAGCTTCAGCACCTTATCTCATGCTTCTGGGCCAGTAGGATGTCAAACGGGTGACTTTTATACACCAGATCTCTGATTCAGAGCCCTGGAATTGAATCTTCATGTTGTGTCTGAGGAGTGCTGGAAACTTTCCATGTCCTCTCCTTCCCAGGTAATCTCTTCTGAAATCTAGCAAATAGCACCCAAAGCCACATGTTGGGCTTCCAGGAGCACCAAGCCACTCAAAACTGGTATGAAATATTTGTGCGTTGAAAGGCTTTGGTCAGTGGTTTATAAGCATTAAGTTGGATAATGAAAATCAAGTTTAAAAAAAAAAGAGCCACACACTTAGCAATGCATAAACATAGACTTTTGTTAAATATGTGAAACATCCATTAACAGCAGATTTCCCCATTGTCAGTTAAATTTAGTAGTACCCTTGAACAGAAATAAGTCCAGGGGAATTAATCACTCTTGTTTAAAAAGCTGACAGCTATTTTAAGCAGTGAGCTTTCTGGAGGGGAAAAAAAGCACCAGAAGTATCTATGCTCTTCAAAGGAATATACTTGGGGAAAGTTAGGAATAGTCTTGCTATGTTTAGGTTTAAATTCCATTTTTCACACGTATTTCTTGAACTGAATTATGTGCCTGAACTCCAAAATGTGCTTTGGTGCATAAGCATCAAAGCCTTTAACTTTAAAAGTACTTCGACCTCCTGGGAATTTCAAGGGATTTTAAGGCTCTATGGGTTGTTTCTTAAATTTTCGGTGTTTAGAGATAATTTACACCCTTATCTTCAGTGCAGATCTGGTACAAGTTTTGCTGTGAGCCAGGCACAACAAGGATTGCTAGTTAATGCTTGTCAATTTATACCTGTGCCAAACAGAGCTGTGGAACTGGATATTATGGGTAATTTCTGTTTTGAGAACCTGTTGAAGAGAGAGGGTATCCTTAAATACAAAATTAGCAGTAACTTTTGAGTTTGGAAACTTTATGTGGCAACAATTCTTGATGATTTCTTCACACACATACCCCTTCACCCCCTTTGGGTTTTGGAGTTTTTTTTATTAGCCTAAGGGGTTTTATTTTGACTCTGGCAACAAGATAAAAGCCCTTGGTACCCGTTAGAGTGTAGTTAGTCTGTAGTTACAACCATGCATCCTTTTTCAAGACTCAGTATCTAGTTCTCCCATGTTATCAATTAGTAATTCTCCCTTCTCCCACCTTTTCTATTCTATAAATCTTCTCTTCCTGGAGGGGAAAAAAAGGTACCAATTCATTGATTATATGTTTTTCACTCAACATTCCACAAGCCTGTCTCAAGTAGCACTGCGAGTAGTCTGAGAAATAACATTGCACAAACTACTATTATTCAGTTGTATGGGAGCATTTATATGTCAGAAGAGAGCCGGGCAGAAGGGTAAGTAACTTGTCTTAACCTGCCTCAAGGAGTTTACAAAGTGGGGATTGGGAGGTGTATTTCTTATGTCTTCCTAAGACCCAAGGAGGGTTAAACCACGACAGAGTGGAAAGGGAAAAGGGTCTGTTATCCTAAGGAAATAATTTAATGCCTGGCAAGGAAACTAACAGCTTATCCTGCACTGTTCAAGAAGTCTAATACATTAAATTCTTCTTCAGAAGGAACCAGCCATCCAGCATAGACTTAATCGGCGTCTTACACCCTATCCACATTTTGACAGTGTGATGTGACAGCATCATTAAAAAAAAAAATACTTGTTTTCTGAAATCCTGAGCTATTTATTGCAGTAAAAATGATTTGACACTTTAAAAAAAAGTTGCAACTTGCAGAATAGCTGACTTCAGTCTGCTTCAGCTGTGACAGGCTAGTCCAGCCCTCATGGGTGTGACAGGATATAGGGAGCAGAGGCCAGTGTGATGTTCAGCAGAGACAGAGTAGTGGAAACAAAAGGACTTGGGCCAACAGGGAGAAAAATGAAGAGCACCAAGGAACTGTGTTGCAAGAAGTTTTTCATTTTATTAGTAGTGATTGATATACAGTAGTTCAATCTTAATGCTTTAAAAGATTTTTTTTGTGTCCTGACTGAGTTCAGAGCAGTAAGAGAGCAGGCAAAGTGTCTTGTTACTTGCTAAAGGTAAAAGGTGGAGCTTTGTGTTTTATATCAATTGCAGCTGCTTCTGTTGTGTGATCACAGAGCCATGTGGCCATCAAGGCTTTTAACACTGTTTTAGTTTAGTTTGTGCATTTGAGAAGCTTTGGGCAATTGCTGGGTTTAACCCCTGTGTTGGTAGTTTAGTTGTATGCTCTGAAGTCCTGCATGTGTACAGGCTTAGCTGTGTGTCTTAGTCAAATCTGTGATAATGTAGTGTTCAGAGATGCATATAAATGCTTCTAAGTTAACTTGTTATGATGTTCTGTAGGGAAAAATCTTTGAGTAAGGAAACTAGTTTATGGAAACATGCAGTGCTGGCATTAATGCATTTGTCTCCAAACAACAGAGTCCAGTTTGGCATTTCATTTTTTTCCGGTCACCTGAGCTTTGAAAACTAAACAAAACATTGAAAGGAATATTCAGTGACTAAACTCACTGAGAAAATCTAGAGCTACTACAGTACTGTTTCCTTGGAGAGACATCTTTTACCCAACTGGAGAAATCAAAATCTGTCTAATTCAGCCTCCCTTTCTTGTGTGGGAATACCATGCTGTTACACTGCAGTTCAGTGTATTTGATAGGGGTTTTTATCTTTGCCTGCCCTTTCTAAGTTATATATCTATGGATAACCCAGTTTATTTCTAAGATTACTTTCAGACTCCTACTGTACAGTGACCATGCTTTCCTGCTGTACCACAGACAAAAGGGGCTGGATTTCAGTAGTGCTTTTTTGCCTGCAGTTTTGAACAGCTGAAGCTTTTGTTCATCTTTCATCCTGTTACAGAGTAGGAATATGATTGCCTGATTACAAGCAATAGAGTTTGTACATCATTTGAAGTTACAGCCAGTCAGCTGAGATGAGATAACTGACTGCGTGCGGGCTCCTGCCCTTCTTGCTTGCACAGCGTAAAGCAAATTAATGCAGTGCACGTGATGTAAATTAACCTGTTTTGCAGCTGGGACAGGCTTCAGCACGCACACTCAGGTACTGGGAAGCTGACAGGTGGTAGCCTGGTAAGATGTGCTAACCCCATTTCTTGTGCTGGTCCAGATGTGCCTTGGAGACAGCCACGTGAAAGGGCTTGTAAAATGAGAAAATCTGTGGGTCAATATATGCTCTTGAGGACTTGCAGTTGTTGAACTTGATTCATGTATCTCCATCTATTTTTCATTAAAATGCTATGTTTGCTGTTGGCGTTTGAGGGCAGAATTTGGCTCTGTCATTTTGTGGGTTTAGTACCTCAAACATGAAACTTTATGCCTTTGCCTTAAGGGATGTGTCTAGCCTAGACTTTTTCTTTACTACATTATTCTGCTTTCTGTCTTCTCTGCCCTCAAGAAATGGGAAAGAAAAATTAATAATAGACTAAAGCTGGGAGCATTTCCTTTTTAATCAAGTGGTAGAAAATCCTGGGCTGAACATGCTTCTTTAAATTACCTTTTCTCTGATATTTTAATTAATGTTAGTATTTTTCCTACCACACTTGTACTGCCCCAAGGGAAGACTTTTTTTCCCTGCCTTTCCTTCATGGCATGCCACAAAGATTCCTCTACAATTAACCTAGTAAAAGTAAGAAAAGATATAGCAAAGGTTTAAAACTGAAAAGACATCCTTTCATTTCTCTCAAGTGGTGAAATATTCAAGTTTTAAAATGTTAAAATGTCCCTGAGCCTTCTCACATCAGTGGTTTAATGCCTTAACTGAATTGCTGTTCCATTGAAGATTAAAAAAAAAATAAAATGCTGTGTGTGCTTTTACAATCGTAAATGAGAATCAAGAAACAGTAAGCAAATAATTATCTTTCAATTCAGACACTAAGGGTCTGACTTACTATTATTAGGCAACCTGTTTAGTTCCAGACTTCCAAAATCCACCTCTGTTATTTTGATTTTTTTTAAATAATGTACTTAAATTGCTTCAGTTTTCTTGCTAAGTGAGATGCTGAGCACTTGCAGTTCCAATTGGCATCTCAGTGCCTGTGTTTCAGTGTTCGAACATTAAAACAATCAAGCTGATCTTGTTTTAAGAGTGTGTTCTTCATTGCCTCTTGGTTGCTCCTCATTGTCTATTGATATAGGCTGGGTGTATTCTCAACATTAAAAAAATAATTGTACAGTTGCAGGAATCAGAGACACACAGAAATTAAAACCAGGGGTTTTGAAGCTTAAATGCCTAAATAAAAACATTTGAGAAGGTAGGTTTAAGAGTGTTGAGCGAGTTTTAACAAGTAGGCATCACAGCTGAGAGTAGACCCAGGGTCTCCCAATCAGACCCTCACACTGAGCAGTTTTGGGTTTATTTTGCTTTAAGTCATTTTTGGATGCAAGTGAATGACATTAACTGTTAAGTCCTCCTTTCTGTAGATATCTGCACATTTGGCATTCATTTTCTTGATCTCATCCTTAGGTCTTGAGTGAACTGTTTTTATTGCAGTCCTGCAATGCAATTTTAACACAGGCATACAGAAGTATTAATAATTGTGTATGTTTATAAATGCACACTACTAAAACAGTGATTTGGGTGGCTGGGGAATTAGTAGGGGGATAGCAAGCGGTCTTATCATTCATTTGAAAC